TCTAACGTTTCGTTTGGCAATCTGGTCCGAACTTCTTCAGGGAAATTAATCGAAATTAACATAACAGAGGTTTACATATAAAAGGAACAACTCTTGTTTTTAAACCCTGTCCAATCACAAGCCATGCAACAGGCATCAACATGTATAATAAGTAAATAAAATTGTATGTTTATATATAAAAGTACATCTCTTGTTTTAAATTGTTTGTCCTGTCATGTGAATCAAGAAACAGCTATCAATGGGTATAATAAACAAAACAAAATTTTTATATGAACTGTGATCAAAATTTGACCTCAGACTTTCGAAATTAGTCTACTTTATGTGTATATGTGTATATGCAGTATATGATGGTGTGTGTGGGGGGGTGAACAGTCATAAAACATTTGTTATTCTCATATGAGCTGTGATCAAGATTTGACCGGATAGTTACAAAATAATTGAGATTTTTCAATAATATAATATAATTTTTTAAATTTGCTATTCTCTCCATAAGAAGACGTAGACAATCGGGAATTTGATCAAGTGTGACTAGTTGTTGATACCTATCCAATTTATTTATTAGTCAGGATTTGCCATGCATCGGCTAAGATCACACCTTCACGTCTGTTCAAACTGTTGAGATTCACCCATATATGTAGGGCTTCTGCAGTCAGTCTTTCTTTATATGAACCAAAACCTTTCTGTAAAACCTTAGTCTTATCAAAGTTCATTTTGTGTCCCGTTTCTATCGAATGTAGTGCAATCGCTGAGTTGTTTTCTAGTTTTTTCAAGTCTGTAGAGGTCTTTGGAACCACCTTTAGACAGTGTTTATGCTCTTCCACTCTTACATTTACCTATCTGGAAGTTTCTCCTTTTATATATAAACCTCTGTTATGTCAATTCGATTAATTTCCCTGAAGAAGTTCGGACCAGATTGCCGAACGAAACGTTGGAATTAATCATTTCAATTTCGCTGAGATTTAACAAATATTATTTAATAAAAATATTTATTACCCATCTACAATTTCTTACCGATTGACAATTAGCTTTGACCTCTGTTATCAGTCTACACTGCATGTATAAATTGCCTGAACAACTGTACAGCTTTGAAGTCAAGTTACGACTCATGGGTTCTTGATCCTCATGAAATAGGAGTTTTTCATACTCTTAAGATGTCCAAGCAACCTAATAGATTAATACATACATACATACTGTACTGTATGTAGCGCAACCTCAAGCGGAATTTAACCAGACACTCACTCAAACATTTAATTCACATTTGATGAATACATATTTCCATGCTCAAATAGCTTGAATGCAACTAGTAATATAGGAATAACTGAACTGAATGAATTTTACACATTCACTTCTCTACATAAGGCTGAATACAGCAAGAACAGATATCATTTCTCTGACTCCATCTTGTACGACACTTAAGATAATCTTCAAGTATTGGTTTTGTAGGGATTTTTGTTTGATTCCATTGAGGATGTCATCATGTGCTGACATCAGTTAGAGAACCACTGGAAATCCTGGGAGTACTGAACAGCTGTTTCATCTTAGTTGGGGAGTCTTCATCAGTATGCACCCACCGGGGTTCATGGTCCATGGACTAGCCATTGGATCAGGTCCTAATGGGTAAGTGGTCTACGAGATCGCCTTGTAACCTAAAGGTACTGGGTTTGAATCCCGGTGGGTGAGTACTGCTTAAGATAATCAGCATAAGATTACCCAGCGGACGGTAGTCTGTATAACGGATACTAAGTGGTCGTTAGTGATGTGGTTCACTGTCCGAAGCATTTGCCTCTCAACTAATTACCTTTATACCCGAACCTCGCCTCACCTACTTAAGTCTGGATAGTAAATACCAGGTCTTGCATAACAAGTGAGGCAGGCAGCGACATATACCAGAAGCCTATGGTGCGAAAATGACATTTACTATAATAAGCGAAGAATAATGAAATGGGATGTAATATACTAAACCACCAATTAAACATCTTAAATTGGTGTAGAGACAGTCAAATGACATCATGCGCCAGGCCATCGTTCGACTGGAACCTGCATGGAAAACGAAGAGTTCGGAGTGTCTGAGGGTGACATAGAGGACACTAGACACCATGGGAAATCGTGGGACCAGCTTAAGATCACTGCAAGGAATAGGAAGCCCTATCTTCCACTCAAAACCCAAGGGAACAACAAATAATTATTATAATTGGTGCGGAATAGTTTCTGTTTGCTTTCTACGAAGTGGTATTACACTCACGTGTTTATAAATACTGCCAGTCTTAACTGCATTATAACAATTTCACATCCGATGGAAAACCTGTGTCTATATCTCCTCCTAAAAACAACAACATTATACCACTTTAAGCACCTTTAAAAAGCATTGGATTTTCCTCAATATATATACAGATTGTCACACCTCCATAAAATTTGGCGACTCTCTCAAAGTCAGGCAAACCTACAACTCAAATCTTAACGAGAACTAAGACCTCTACTCTCAAATGCAACGATTCAACTTCAGAGCGAAATAAAAACAAAACTAGTACATTCACACATCTCTCGACAAAAGTCCAACAAGTTTGTGTCAAATGCACGAAGGAAATCAACTGTCTCCGATGCAAAACGATGATAAACAGTACGAAGGTGAAAATTCAAGCTACTAACGAATGGAACAATCCTCGTCTCAAATATGTGACTGATTGTACACAAAATTATTCCTCAAACTAATACTAAAATGAAATTCGAAAGTACATGCTTCTCACGAGTCTGAATATGAAATTAACAGTGAATCAATTCCATGCATCATACTGAAGAAATATAACAAATTCATGAAAACCAACCGGTATCAAATTAAATGCACAACATAAAGCCTGCATGTCACCAGAATTATATGCAATAACTTAGTAAATGAACGAAACACAACATAGTGACGAAATTCCACACCGTCAATTGAAAATTTCACATCAAACAGACGGTAACACTGGATTCAGGAATATATACAGACAACCATGTTTAATAATAATAATAATAATAATTTGCCATTTGAACTGCGGAATCATTAGGAAAAACAACATACAAAAACGTCTACCCTCAGGTAGTCGATTAAGGTGTCATACTTTAGGAACTTTAGTTACTCTAGAAAGTACTAAACATCTACTCAACCCGTCCTCTGCAAAACATTAAATGAATCTACTAGCAAACTAGACATTGGCTGACTGGTTTCAACGTAGAACTTTCCTTAGGGGTGCAGCAGACCAAGTTGCCACACTCCTCCATATACTACACGAAGGAAGACAAAAAGGTGCGGGAAAGAGATTCGAAAGGACGTCAATAAGCAGGAGTGCAAGGCGAGAAGGATGATGAAATGGAAAAAGGAAGGGCTTTTATTGGACATGGCAGATCATTGAGAGTAAATGCATCGGCGCCAATGAGAACAATTTTCAGCCACACCACCAATTGTCTTCAGCAGTCAGTTCTTGGAATCCCGAAGACTCCATCATATCTAGTATTGGGTGGAGTGGGACGTATTGAAATCCCGAAGACCTGAACCACGCAGTCCATACCTCCCTTTGTGGATCAAACTAACTGTTACAGATTTCATGAACTCATACGATGTCTTTGTTTGACCACCACTAGCTCTTTTCCAACCCAATCCTATGTCAGCTAACATTTCTAACAAACCGGATAAGGATTTTGAGGTATATTACTACGTAGTGTCGGGAATCATTTCACGTACTGAACTCCTCTTTCTACTGATGTATGCAATCCTTATTTGTTCAATTTGTGATCATATGAAACATGAGTTATACACTTCATTAAAGAACCTAATTCTCCAGTCATTCCAGGAATTTAATCAGCATAGGCAACTATTGTAACTAAACAACTGAATGCTTAATAATATCCGAGCACATGTATGAAGATAGAAAGCATTATACAATCATCATCATCATCACAAAAGTCTAGACACTCCATAGACAAAATGATCGATTTATCAAGTTATTGTGGAAGTAAATTCATTGAACACACTGATTGTATTATTCATCTAAATAAGTATCATCCACACACACACACACATTGTCGGTACAAAGTGTGTAATGAGAAGAAGATATCCGGAAACTTGTTAAGGTGAAGTACAAACTTGAAAGGTGAGTAAACAAATCGCTTGATGCCAGACACGTGAAGTTGGTTTCAACACATATCACACAAACCTATACTTCTTGTCCTCTTCCTCCAACAACAACAACGACCTGCGCTGCTGCATGGAGTTAGCTCACAAATGGTCAACATAAGACACAATAACCAAGAATCGACTCACTGAACCTTCATATTAACTGAGTAGAACAACAATGACACTTTGGCGACACATACATAGATTTTCATTCTACAGAATGGATATTCAGTTATTCAACAATCGTTTCCATCACTCACACCATCTTTGAAATCAAACCAAAGACTGTTATTGTTAAAAAACTTCACCTCGAAGAATAAAGTCTGTTTCGGTATCTTTCCATTTATAGACACCACACAGAATATCCAAGTAGTACGAATATGAAGACACAGGACATTTCCATAGGACTTTCCCCTAAGGTTGTGCAGTGGAAATTGTTCCAAAATATCATCGACAAGTTCGTTGGTATAAAAATATTTTCAAAAACTGTATGAGACAAAGATAGGACTACAGTGTTAGGGAGGAAAGGTCAACTTTATCAATTTTCACATTTCACGACGTTGCATTTCTGATTTTATCAAGTGACACTAACCTTTGACTATTTTGTAGACAAATTCTGTTTCTGTCAAAGAATAACATGGAAAAATGTGATTCATCACGATTTCTGTTCGACTTCTTCTCTAGTTAAAATAATAAAGAGCATAGACTCACTTAGGCTCGTAACTGTAAAATCTAGCTAGCATTAATGAACAAGTGCTCGATGACGCATAATGTTTGACACAACGAAATCGTATTACATTTCACTGTCAGTTAGGCAACAAATAATAACTTGAGGTATTCGAAACAACCTTGTAGTCAGGTGGTTCACTAGAAAATAGTCAGCCTGTACACAATGCAAAGATAAGCTAAAAGCAGTGAGAAGAAAAGTCATTTATATGAAAATACATAAAAATAATCAGAGAGAAATTCAAACGCTATTGCTTTGGTTCCGATGTATTAGTATGAGGAATTGACTGTTTAATGGCACAGTGTTGGACCCACGGATGAGACATGATACCTTCTAAGGACAGGCGATCAGTTGGATTACGTTTGAGGATCTGTAAAGGCGTTTAAAAACAACTATCAGATAAATCTACGACAATCTAAAACGTGAAACTAACCATAAGCTGTAAATAATACTCGAAATATACCCATTAATTCAGACGGAACAACAGTCTTTCTCTTCAACGAAGAAATATCTCTTATTATTGACCTCATTTCCACGCTGCATAGTGGTAGTTATATTACGGGAAAGGCCATTAAGTGGCACTAGGAATTTCTCAGTCAATATACATATGATAGGAATAAAGATAATTAAAGTGATGTACTAAGGGAGTAGAGTTGAAGTGGATGAATTACAAAACTTTTAAAGATTAATAAATAAAGGAACTGGTATACAGAATTTAAAAATAGCAGGTCAAGTATTGTCTAGAAAACTAAGAGCATGGTGATGGTAACAATAAAGACGGCGAAGATGAAGTGAAGTTGATTGAATTCAAGTGGTGAAATAGAATAAAATAAAAGTACATTAGTATGACCAAGGTAAAGAAAGGGGCTTGACGAAACGTTTTAGAATACACAATTTAGGTTTTTCTCTACGTATAACTAGAGCTTCATTTACGCATAAGTGGAGGAAACGTAAGCTTTTGGAGTGGTTGGATTCGGTCCTGCAGATGACTTTAAAGGATGACCTGACACCAGAGGAGGACTTCGTCGTCCTATGGTTCACCTTTCATTAACCCAACCGAATAGTATTCAGGTACGCGTTTACAGAGGTTACGCTTACAACGTCCAATGCAATCAGCTCCACACAACCACGTAAATCAGTATATAAGCACATTGAGGTGGACATAAGCGGTGGTTTATCATTGACGCATTGTCGAATCATATTTTGGCTGGTAAATACTAGGTGGAAGTCAGCTGCATAAAAACACCGTTTAATACATTTAGATGAGCGACCTTTAATTACTTTAGGAATACTGTCGTCTTTGAAAGCCAAACTCATAAACAATGTCTTCTTTGGCACGGTGATTTGGCTGGGAATGGTTTCCGTCTTGACGTTTCTGTCGACAAACCTTCTACGACATCCATTATTTAAGCGAGTTGTGCGAAGGCTTTCTAATCCTAAGTCGACTGTATCTACAGAGCAAATTTTCCGAATTCTCGAGCATAGAGAATGATAATAGTAATAATAATAGCTTTATTCCAAACAGTATTTGTGGTACAGGTATGGAATTTTCAGCGTGCATTACGATATTGCATCTAATTGCCTCATAAATTTTATAAGATTTTAAAATTAAAAAGCAACAACAGTATAAAGATAAAAGATAAATAAATGAAATAAAAAAGAACAGCATTGCATTCACATTTTTAACGATGCACCACAGGATATGAAATATAAAATTAGTGTGTAATATAATATGTGACCAACAATATAATAGTAACAAAGAAAGGGGAACAAAAGCTAATGGGAACTATTTGTTAGAGTGCCGCAGTAAGTTGATCGTGTCATACCTAACGGATTTCTCATCACATAACAGCTGGGTTAGATAAGGTATTGTGGAGATTTTGTACTTGGTAGTCCTGGCATATAGCCTCCTATAGTTGCTTCTAGTTCTACCAGATGAAATGCAAGGAGAGAGATGCGTACAGAGAGGATGCTCGGGGTCTGACAATATAGTATTCGCTAGTTTCTTACATGACATTATATGTCTATCTACAATGGTGTTAACCAGTTGGCTTAACGAAATCCCACTTCCGCTTCTAACAGCTTTTAGTGCCCTACGCAGCAAAGCAAAATCTTTCTTAAGTAGTCCAGGAAAGATTAATGGGGAGCAGTAAAGAGGGATGGTTAGAATACAAGAATTGACAAACTGAGAAAGCAAGGACTGCTTTATACCAGACTGCCTTAACTTCCTAACGTAGAGCGTTAAGCGAAACATATTTCTAGTAACTAGCAAGATGTGAGAGGACCAGGAAAGATCGGGGGAAATACTAAGTCCAAGGTACTTGACATTAGATGTAATTTCAACCTCTATGACGTCAATGATAATGGGACCATCGGAGCTAGCTAGTTGTTGTAGGTCACGTTTTCGTCTGAAAGTGAAATTTACTACCTGACATTTAGACGGATTCAGCTTAAGACCGTTTGAAGAGGACCACTGACTAATTTCCGACAGAAAGTTATTTAATTTGGAACAATCTGACTGAGAGTTGACAGGCATAGAGACAGAGAGGTCATCAGCATACTTGACAAAAGTGGCTACATCGGAATGGGGCAAGTCATGTAAGAAAAAAGAAAACAGAAAAGGAGAAAGAACAGCACTTTAAGGAACACCAGCTAAAGTAATGAGGTAGTGGAGGACTTTCCATTGTAGACGGTGTACTGCTTCCTATCAGAATTCTGGAGGACAGAGAACGGATAAACTTTCTCATTCTACCTAGAGGTACCCAAGTGTTCAGGTTAGTGTACTGATGGAAATTGTTCAGCGGCTGAGCTTCTTGAAAAATGTAATGGTTCTCACGCACCTATGCTTTCCATTATGGAAGAAGAGTCGAACTCCGCATTTCAATTCTTAGATGTGATGCTAGATAGAAGAGAGGACGGCACGTTGAAAACGTCGATCTACTGAAAGCCGACACTTACAGGTCAGTATACTAACTTCAACACTTGGATACCTCTAGGTAGTGAGAGAAATCTTATCCGTTCTCTGTCCTCCAGAATTCGGAAAACTTACAAATGTACAGACTGAAAATGAAGTTGTTGAAAGGAGATATTTCTTCACTGAACAAATAAAACTGTGAAATAATAGATTTCGTCGATAAAGGAAATTTTCTGTGCTGAATTTGTCTTTTATTTTCTTTATGAAATAATACTTGGAGAAAAGAATAATAAAAATTATTTTCATTGCAATAAAAAGTGAACAAACAAAGAAACATTGTGAACTTTAGATGCTTATATTGGTATTTTGCGAAACAACACCTACTGAGACTCACAGCTGAGTGTACCATTAAAATCAGAAACCTGCCGTAGATTAAACTTAGTTCTGATTACAAAAACTCGTACGATTCCACCATGGACATCATCGGTTGCATAATTCAAAATAAACTATAACGAAACATATGCACTAGCACTGAAGTTCGGAACATTTCATGAGATATGTGTGCTCTTCTTTTCCCTTCACATACATAACTTATTCTCTCAGGCACCATGAGGATTCGAACTGGTGTATCTGTTTACACATTAAATGAGGTTCCGACTTGACAATAGTCTAAAAATTAACAGATTTGGTAACTCACTTAACAGGACGGTAGCAACCAAAATTATGAGTAATGCACACAAGGAGGAAGAAGCACATTTGGAAATTCAACACGGAAGAGAGTAACGATTCTCACTAACCGCATACGTGATCTGTTTTCTTTGTCTACAGCGAGCGAATATATCAACGATGAAAACATAAACTAAATGCATGTTGCATTTTAGAAGCTCGATCTCCCATCCATATGCCTTTAGGGAAATTCAAGAAACCTGATACAGCATACATACCACATATGTGAGAAAATCTTGCTTATATTTTTCTGTATGTAATCAGCATATCAACGACTTCACAAATTGTAACCAAGGATTAAAAAACAATGAGAAATTACCTTGGAAATCAGATCCTGTGCCAAAGGCGTTATGACAGAAGGGAACGTATATTTCACAGCTTTGATACAAGCATAAGTCTCTTGAGAACTAGGACGTTCGAATGGAGGTTTACCACACAGCATCTCGTAACACAGAATACCAACGGTCCAATGATCTACACGTTCATCATGGAAAGTCCCACAAATCATTTCTGGAGCCAAATAATCTACTGTCCCGCAAAGTGTTCTTCTCCTACAAAATGTGAAAAATCCCAGCTGTTAACTACAAAAGAAAATTCAATTCTAAAAGCATTAGGACTCTTTAGGAGATGCCGTGTTAAATCCAGTAAAAAGGGAAGATCATGATAACCTGGTAGTGAACACCAGCGAAATCAAAACCACGCCTTTTACAACATTCCGTCCTAGGTGTTTAGAATTCAACAACTTCGCATTCTCTTCCGATAATATCCCCCACTTAAAAGCAATTTTATATGTCATTACGAGAAGCAGCCTGCAACTCTAACAAGGCAGAAGGCAATAACCAAACACACATAAACATTGTTCGACTTTACGCAACTCTGCATCGATCCATGTCGCCCAATTCGCACCAGTGAAACGAGGACAACCTTCACTCGATAAAAGAGATATTACTAACAGTCATTGCTGTGATTCAGTATTCATCCAGTGTTCAGACACTGGTGAGACCGATGATACAACTACAGTGGACAAAGCAGGAGGAGTTAATTTTTGCAGACGTTGATTATGTCTGGATCTCTAAGGTCAGAGCCAATCCCAATTTCATAATATACACTCTTCACTACACTTGTCATGTGTTCTGATACAGTGAAATAGGGCAGAAGTATTACACTTGAAACCACAAGTTCAAACAGAAAACTAGACCAATGCTCTCATCACCTCACGCACAAATTTTGAGTCAACGACAACAAGCACAATATTAACTGGCTTCGCTAGAAAAGCATACAATCTACAAATATCCTACCATATCACATATTTATATAACAACAGGATCATATTAACTCATACTCACCTCAATGATGGAGCATGTACTCCCCATCCAAAGTCTGCCAGTTTAAGCTCATGATACAAACCCAAGAGCAAGTTCTCAGGCTTTATATCACGGTGAATCACCTTCTTTTTGTGGCAGTATATCAAGGCATCACAAAGCTGGTAAATATACTGAGGGAATAACAGCAAAAGCAGAACATACAGTAGCCGAACGTGCCTCACTAAAGCGTCCCAGCCTTTGAAGCTCATCAAACATTTGTCCCATAAAAGCATACTCGAGAACCAAGTATATCCGTTTGTGATCATGAAAGTAAGTATATAGTTGTAGAATGTTAGGATGCTCCAAGTGGCACATGATTTCAATTTCACGTTGTATCTGGTGCTCCATCTTGCTTTTTACTAATTGCTTCTTGAAAATAACCTGAAAAGTTGGTTACGCGCGTAACACCTGAAGAAGCATACTTTTAGTGCACATGGAAAGTGTGATGTTTTCTTTCTAGCTAAGAAAACCGTGCCAAACTTCCCACGGCCAAGCTTCTTCCCAATGTCGAAGTCAGACAAGACACTCATGCGGGGATATTCCACAACTACCATTTGGACTTTTACCGACGAAAAAGGAGCGCAATCAGTTGTTAACTCGTTGCCTATACAAACAAACAACCTCTTTCATCAGAAAACGAAAACTGGAATTCACATGTGTTTAGAGTCTGTGATGTTGAGATGCGTACTGAGTTTTGAAATTAAACGTATTAACTGCCTGAGTTTTGGGTGAAGAGAGAAGAAATCAGACTAGTTGCAAACTTCATTTTTCCTTTGTACCTACAACTTCTACTGGTTTAAAATACAAGAATGTTCTGGAGTACCTGGCATTGTAGCTGCAGACATCTTTCTAAATTTATTATTTCACAAATCTCACCACAATTCAACATAGGACAATGCCTTGCACTACCGAAGTCAACCATTAATAATAATAATAATATGCTTTATTCCAAAACAGTACATGTGATACAGAATGGAATTCTCAGCATTTTTTACTACAGTATTGCATCCAGTTAGTACATTATCAATTAATAGAATTCTACATAGATTGAGGAAACCACAGTTCATTATGACAACAACACATTGGCATGTCGGTAGCAAAGCCAAATTTGAAACAGTGTTTGAAGGTGTTAGAAAAGTAGGTGCTGTCATATTTACTGGGGTAAGCGGAAGAAAGAAACAAAGCAGCACATAACGGAAAAGAGAGAGAGAAAAGGAAAAAAGAAAACGTTGTACCTATAAATGATATGAGTTGGAAAGACGAGGTCCAGTTGTACTACTGACTATTTAATAAGTTATAAGTTTCACGCCTAATGCTTTCTTTATCACACAGAACACGAGCTAAGTAGGGTATGGTTGAGTTTTTGTACTTGCTGGTGCGAGCATATAGTTTTCTATATTGGCTTCTGGTTTTACCTGATGAGATGCAAGGGGAGAGTTGTGAGTGAAGAGGGTGGTGTGAGTTAGATAAAATGGACCTGGCCCATTTTTCACATGAGTCCATGTGCCTGTCAACCAGAATATTATCAAGCTGGTTAAGTGGCACGTTGCTTACCCTGCTGACAACCTTTAACACCCTGCGTAATATGTTATAGTCTTTCTTCAGTAACCCGGGAAAAACTAAGGAGGAACAATAGAGAATAATAGGCAGAATGCGATAGTTAACGAATTGTAGGAGTAAGGGTTGGGTAATACCAGAATATTTTAACTTCTTGATGTAGAAGGTAAGACGGAATATTTTCTTAGAAATCATCAAGATATGAGACGACCAGGAGAGATCAGCAGATAGAATGACGCCTAGGTATTTGATTTCCGACTTGGTTTCTATTGCATTGCCATCTATGTTGCACACCTCATGAGAGCCAACCAGTTTGTTTAGGTTGGATTTATGCCTAAAGGTGAAATTGACTGTGTGGCGTTTGGCAGGGTTTAAGGTGAAACCGTTTTCCTTGGACCACTGGCTGATTTCTGACAGGAAGCCATTTAGCTTAGAGCAGTCACTTTCACATTTGACAGGAAAAGATACTGTCAGGTCGTCAGCATATTTGACAAAATTGATGTCATTTGACGATGGTAAGTCATGTAGAAAGAAAGAAAAGAGAAGTGGTGAGAGCACAGCTCCTCGAGGGACACCAGCTTCAGTGAGCTCAGCAGAGGGGGATTTGCCTATATATACGGTGTACTGCATTCTGTTAGAGAAGTAGCAATGCAACCAGTTAGTGACCTAGGACTCAGTTTTTGTCATAGAGAGCTTATTTAGCAAGAATAATCTAGGTACAGAGTCAAAAGCAGAAGTTAAGTCGAGAAACGTGCAGCGGACGTATTTGGCACCTTTATCTAATGATGAGACGATGTTGTTGTGTAAGACAGCTGCAGCGTCTAATGTACTCCTACCCTGTCTATAGGCAAATTGTTTGGGGTCTTCGAAGTTTTTGAGGGAGGGTTCAAGTTTAAGAAGTATTAGTTTTTCCATAAGCTTTAGAAACGGGGAAGTGATGGCAATGGGTCTGAACTTTACGTTCTTGCCGTTTCCAGGTTTAGGGACAGGGACAATTTTGATGTCTTCCCATGCATCAGGTACGCTATTTTTGGAGAAAGAAGCATTTAGGATGTTGGTTAGTGGAGAGCACAACACATCTGCACATTGTTTTAAAACATATGCACGTATACCATCAGGGACAAGGCTACGTGAGAGCTTGAGCGTTTTAAGACATTTTAGAACATCGAGAGTATTAAAGTCATGAAAGTTTTCAGCTACATGATTGGTAACATTAAAAGTGGTTAAAGTAGAAGGACAGTGTATGAAAGACTGATTAAGAGCATTAACATCATAAGAGGGAAAAGCATTACAACGATTACTATTGCCAGTAATTTCATTAAAAAGTTTCCACATGCTGATTGGAGATTTACATGATAAAGGTGTATCATTATAGATAGCATTAAGATTTTTGATTTCAGATTTGATCTGAGCATTAATCTTTTTGAGTCCTAACTTGTCTTTGGATTTGTATTAAGTTTCTTTTTTCCTGCGAAGTTGTTTGAGATGAGGAGATGAGAACCGGTCGAGGCGTTTGAATAGTGTTTGTTTGGGACAGCATATATCAAGGCAAAACTTGAGATAATCCGTTATATTGACAATTGTGTCATCTAATGAACTTTCATGGAATAAATCCCAGTTAGTATTTTGTAACATGCACCTTAGATTGAGTAAGTTTCCGGATGAGTAGCATCTTTGTTGTGCTTTCATAGACAGATGTGAGAAGACTTTGATATGTGTTTTGCTGTATATTTTGAGGCTAATGGTACACGGTGAAGTGTCCACAAACCTGCACTCCAGTGCGTTGCACTCAGATATTCACGCATGACTAATATTATGCTGAGAGTGCAGCGGTGATACACAATTCGACTTTTCTATATCCTATATGTGTGTCTGGACAGGATGTGAAAGGTGATGCATTGTAGGAACCATCACTAACATGCAGCCACTGAATCGCCAAAAATCAGAGGATGCAAGTTGAGACTATAGTTCAGCTTTCTTGCATCAAAGTAACACTATGGTTAGAGAGAATATAATAAACTGCATCGACTAAGTATTAACCGAACTGACTTCTAGCTCGCTTTCGGACTCGCAAGGTGTTCTGATATTTGCTGTAAAAGGTACACATCCAACAAGGCTCCGTTTTACACTTTCCTTTGTTCTGGTTGACACACATATTATCGCTCCCTAGCTGAGCCATGTAAGTCAAGTTAGTCCAAAAATCTCTTCTTTGAGCAACGTTAACCATTATAATATTTGAATGCATTACAACTCCGAAAAAATTTCACAATATCTGAGTCATTAATATTCATCATTTCTTACCTCGATTAGTTTATTAGCTCGCTTGTTTTCTAACCGGTGCCTAGCCCAGGTGAAGAGAGACGGCTGAGCGTGGAGCTAGTGGCCCTACCACACGGAACTATTCAAAGTGCTGCACAAGCTTCAAGGCACGTGAAAAATATTAACAATAGAAGAGCTGTGTAAACGACCTCATGTATTTCCTGGGATTGGAGGGGCGAAATTAGGCGGGCTGGTAAAGTGCCTTGGGAAGTCAGTCAGCCCATGTGTGGTGAGAGATGGTTGCTAGCCAAATTACTAGACAGTAATTGAGGTCAAAGGTCAAGATGGACAGGCGGATACAGTTAACATATAGATGAACTGACACAGCCACAAGAGATGCAAGGTTAACTTTGTGTGAGAAACAACCAATCAACAGACTGTATTTTCTACTAAAAATAATCTACAATAATGTACATAAAAATCTATAAATGCGTGTTGATTTTCCGTAATAAACGTTCTGTTGCCTGGCCCTTGTCTTCTGTTGTTACACATGCATCTCCTCTCGATGAAAGCATGAATAAGAATGGGGACCTGAGATGTCTGTACAATGTACGAGGCTGGGAAGGCTGTCCATGTGCTCAAATAAATGGTAAACTACGGCATATGAATGCTGCAAGTCTGGGAGAGCGGGTGGAATTGATGCGTACTGGCCAAATTTTCATCCTCAGAGTGACTAATACACTGAGGTCGGTCAGATAACAACCACCAACACAGTGGTGGAAACGCTATCATGGTGTCAACAGCGGCAGCTGAATGCCTCGTGTATTGCGTGCTGAATTCCCCAAGGACCATGAAAATAAGACACCACATAAAAGGAAGGGGAGTTACAATATCCAATGCTACTCGCTCACAAACAACCCAGAACTAGATAAGAAGGAAGGTCTATATATAGACAGCTGCAAACAGTAATGGTCAGCATGCCAGACGGCGACATCAAAATTCTTATGAGTAGTGTGAGTGCTTAACTGGGATCAGACGATACGGGGACGGAACTGATCATGTGTCGAGAGAATCTCGGAGAAATGAATGAGATCCGAGTGTTTCACATACGTCAGTGCCTTCAAAGATTTGGTGATCGGAGGCAATGTTTGCAAACGCAAGGTTGCACACGAGGCAACATGGATTACACTTGAAAGACACACCGCAAACCAGACAGACTTCACTTCAATGTCGCTCAAGAAAGTGAAGACCCAGTCTGCTGGACACAAATCTATGAAGGGTGGGCACATATGTGCTCAGGATCTCATCTGGTCCGAGGAACCTTCAAGATCAAACTGCAATCCCTTGAAATAACTGGATTCAGGCCACTGTAATTCAAGTTCAACACTCGGAAACAGGGAGACGCAACTACGAAAGAAATCTCCGCTGCATATATCAGAGCAAAGTCGGAGACACTGTGTCATTACTGAGGAGAGCGATGTGGAAGAACATTGAGACACTCTGAAGGTGATATTCGGGGAAACGTTGACAGCCGATGAAGGAAAAATGAAGAGGCAAGACAATAAATGGCTCTCGACGAATACTTGAGAGCTAATAGAGGAGAGGATGTGGTGAAGCAGGAGATGAAGCAATGCAAAGATGGAAAACGTAAGAAGCTAAGTTCAGTCTACATCTTACTGATCTTATCTGTAAACGTGGCATGCATTTCACGTAAACTTACCCGCTTATACGAAATATATATTTTCATCGTAGAGGAGTGAAGAAGAGTGCCAGTGAAGACAAGACA